TTAGAACTTGTGATAGTAATTAGAGCAAAAATGAATAAGGATGAAAAGGGACAGAATATGTGAAAAGGAGATGTGACTCAATAATGGAGCACTTGCTCTCTATGCCAGAGATTTCAGCTTCAACCTATTGGTTTTCCAGTTAGGGATGGAACAAACCTCCACTGAAATCCTATCAGCAGAAAAAAGTTTAATGATTTATGGAGGCAAGTAGATTCCATCATGCTAATGTGCGGCATCCCATTAGAAACATATGTGTAGTAATGTGTAATTTAAGTCAACAATTTGCATTCGTATTCTTCTGTAAACAAGAAATACTGTGGGGAAATTGGCAACTCAGAATCTGACTGGCACTTGATCCCTGTTTCTCTGTCTTATAAATAGAGGTACAGGACTATACCCTCTATTTTCTGAGCAGAAAATAGGATATGGTTCACTTGCTACAAATAAGCAATAATTGGATCACACGGGTGAGAGCTGGTGGCATTCTAGTGAATTGGTAAAAGCCTTGATTTGTGTTTTCAAGGAGTAGCTGCAGTTCAGTAATGAACCCTCTCTTAACTGATAAAATGTTCCCAGTTCAATCCAAGCTATCTTCAGAACTCTTTAGATCTCAGCTTCTATGTCTCAATGTGCTGGCAGATGCAGTCGGGTATTTTCCAGTATTGGGCCAGTATTACTCAACCTTGACAAATTTAAGATTTGTGGACTTCAATTCCCAGAATTCCCCAGCCAACAGAGTTAAAGAGGCCATATATTGTAAAGTTGTTCAGGTCAAGAAACATTGGCTTGGACTCTTAATTCCACCATTCCTGCCTGTGGCTAATAGAAACTGGAGTTTCAAGTAGAATCTTTGTTAGAGGAGGCTCACAGTACTCCAAAATGTATAGGAAAAGGTTATCTATGTCAGGTGTAAAGAAAAGAACATAAGTACAACTACCACACAAATCTCTGAAAAGCAATCCATTACAGAGGCAAAGTGTAAAGATTGCTCTTGTGATATGGAAAGTATCTCTGCCTATATATGTCCATGTGTTCTCACCAAACATGCCAATAGGAATAGCACTTAGACTTCCATATTTCATAGTGCTTTGTAAACTCTCTCTGAGTGGTTTACAGAGTCAGTATATTGCCCCCAACAATCTGAACCCTTATTTTACTGACCTCGGAAGGATGGAAGGCTGAATTAGCCTGCAATACTGCATACTAACTACTGTGCTAACACAGCTGTTAAATTGGAGGGAGGAGTTTTATGGTATGGTTAATGTGTGTGTGTGTGTGTGTGTATCTTTGGTTATTCGGGTTTTCTCCCGCGTAAAATTGGAAGTATCTAGGCAACGTTTCGATGAAGTTTCATTCATCATCTTCAGGCTTGTGTCTTCAGCTCTGTGCTTCTCAGAATAAGCACAGGCTTGTGCCAAAGACACAGGCCTGAAGATGATGAATGAGATTTCATCAAAACATTGCCTAGATACTTCCAATTTTACGCTGGAGAAAACCCGAATAACCAAAGATCCACATACAAGTACCCGCAAGAACCTCAGAAAACACACACACACACACACACACACACACACACATATGATGTGTGTACACACACACACATGGTGGTATTCAACAGGTTCTGACCAGTTCTGGAGAACCGGTAGCGGAAATTTTGAATAGTTCGGAGAACCAGCAAATACCACCTCTGACTGGCCCTGCCCCCATCTATTCTCTGCCTCCCGAGTCCCAGCTGATCGGCTGGGTCTTCTTTTGTTGCCCTGCACAGGAGAACAGAGCTGGAAAGCAGGTTAGTGGGGTGGGGAGGGAATAGGATTTTGCAGTATCCTTCCCCTGGAGTGGGGAGGGAATGGAGAGTTTACAGTATCCTTCCCTGCCATGCCCACCAAGTCACGCCATACCCACAGAACCAGTAGTAAAAAAAACTGGATCCTACCACTGACACACATACATACAGTGTGTGTATATGTGTGTACATACATACATACATACATATATACATACATACATACATACAGTATAGATACAGTATACACACAGACAGAGAGATTTACACTAGGCTTTCTTCTGTAAATTATGAATATTTACTTATTTAATTTATGTTGAAATCTATAACACCAATTCTACATGTAAATATGGCATTTTTTCCACATTTGGCTTTGATAAGTCTGGAGAAGATTTTTTTATTTTTCTTGAAATATGTATTAATGTAAATATAATTCTCGAGTGGATTATAAAAATAGTATAAACATTAGTAGCATTATTTTAAAACAATGAAATGAATTCATTAAACAACAAGGAAAGAAAAGTATGTAACTCATCCTAGCCCTTCAATATTCTTTCTATGTATTTTATTGAGCAATAGGTAGTTTTCCTGATTAAAAACTAGAAGAATATGTGGTTTAATTACATGGCCAGATCCAAAATATCGAAACTGATTCTACTTTTAGAATGCATTTACTTCCTGTTTGTGTAGTGTGTTCCAGAGTTTCACTAAATGTCTTAACATATTTAATTGTGCTACCAAATTTGCCATATCTCTGCCATTCCACTAACAGCACAAAGAATTAAGCTCAGGAAACTGGTAAATATTTTGAAAATTACCTGGTTGTGATTCTTATGGACCAGCTACAGTTTTAAGGCTAAACATACATGAATTGTAAAATGATCCCCTTCCAGCAAAACATCCAAATAAAACTATCATATTCTAATATGAGTCTTTCCCAAATTGGTATTCTCTAGATGTATCAAACTACATTAATTTTACACTGAAAATAGTCCAGACATCTGGAAAACATTAGCCTGGAAAAAGCTGGTATAAGATACATCAGTCTCTCAGCAATCCAGAGATCTATTTAAAATCCTTACTGATTTATCCAACATATGTTCTTCTGTATCAGCTCTAGGCTCTATAACTGCCCATTTAGTTAGCAGAGTTAACATTGCACTATACTTGTGAGACCAGAAAAATGATCAGTTTGCTGGAGAAAGAACCTTAAGTGATTAAATATTTGCTATAACCAAGCATACCTCTGCCTTTCCTCCTAAAAGTCAAGCTTTTTAATATACAGAGCTATTCTGTCCTGGAATAATCCCAAGGAATATATTATCTTTAGAAGTGAACATTTATATTGATAAGATAATATGAGAAATGCTGATGTGCTATCAAGAGCCATCTTACCATTTGTAATTACCATAATACAACTTTATAATGTAAGGGCACACTTGGAATACTGCATCCAGTTTTGGTCACCACAATGTAAAAAAGATGTTGAGATTTAAGAAAGAGAGCAGAGAAGAAGAACAAAGATGATTAGGGACAGGGATGGTGTTCAAAATTTTTAACAACCGGTTCTGTGGGCATGGCTTAGTTGGTGGGCGTGGCTTGGTGGCCATGTTATGTGGCCAACTCAATATCACTCACATCGAGGCACACATCTCCTCTCCTGGCCTCTCATGACTGTGGGGATGCTGCAACAGTCATAAGTGTGAAAAATGGTCATAAGTCACTTTTTTCAGTGCCATTGTAACTTTGAATGGTCACTCTACACAAGCAAAGTACCAGCAAAGGAGTGGGGGGGGGGGAAACCCTGAGAAGTTCCTGAGACAAGAAGTCTAGTCCTGCCAAGAATGTAAAAAGGGTTAACAGAGAGGCAGCTTCTGTAAGCAACACCAGAATGTTTCTTTCCTGCCTTCCTTACGGGATTAGGCCAGTAATTTCTTCTAACAACAGGTTCTCTGAACTGCTTAGAATGTTAACAACTGGCTCTAACGAATAGGTGCGAACAGGTAGAATCCCACCCCGATTATGGAGCTGGAGGCTAAAACATATAAAGAATGGTTGCTGGAACTAGGTATGTCTAGTTTGATGAAAAGAAGGACTAGGGGTGACATGATAGTAGTGTTTTGATATCTCAGGGGCTGCCACAAAAAAGAGGGAGTTAAGCTATTCTCCAAAGCACTTGAGGGTAGGACAAGAAGCAATGGGTGGAAACTAATCAAGGAGAGAAGCAACTTAGAACTAAGAATAAATTTCCTGACAGTTAGCACAGTTAAGCAGTGGAACAACTTGTCTCCAGAAGTTGTGAATGCTTCAACACTGGAAGTTTTTAAAACAAGACTGGACAAGCATTTGTCTGAAATGGTTTGGGTTTCCTGCCTGAGCCAGGGGTTGGACTAGAAGACCTTCCATGGTCCCTTCCAACTCTGTTATTCTGTACTATTCTATTCTATTCAGGGGTGGGATGCAACAGTTTAACCACCAGTTCGTTGATTTACAATTTGCTTCCCTGCATGCTGTGCACACATGTAAATCTTCGTCAGCTTGCTTCCTGGACAGCTGAGCAGTGCTGCGTGTGGGGAAGCAGCATTTGAAAAAGCACTTTTTTCCTGCTTTTTCAACCGCAGCTGTGCCTCGCAAGGCAGCTGAGGTTGAAAAACCAGGAAATAAAGGTCAGGTAAGACCCCGGGCGGGCCAAAACAGCAGCAGACATAGAATTGGTTGTATGTTTGCTGCTCTTCAGAGCTACCAATTCTACAGAGCCGGACAGAACTGGTAGAATCCCACCCCTGATTCTATTCTATTCTATTCTATTCTATTCTATTCTATAACCTGTGCTGTCTTACTAAACATTATACACTGGGAATATCCATTGCAAAGAAATTTCCTTATTCAAAGTCCTATTGGCATTACCACTAAGACCTTCCTTTCTTCTGTAAAGCTCTCAGGAGAGCTATTCTTATCTAGAATGCATTTAGAAAATGGTCCTTTCGTGACTTTCAATATCAGAGGTTAGACAGTAGTGTTGCATTGCTGCAGGAAAATGTTGATGTTAGATTTGTCCCTCCAAAGACAAAGAAATTTGACTAAGGAACATCTTCAGAGTTCAGGATTTATACTATAGCTTTCTTAACAATGATCTCATCTTACTCTTTCATTTCTATCCACCAAAAAAAGTGTCATGTGTAATTAATGTTCTGTTGATCATTACATTTTACAGGCAGGAATGGTATTGAGATGTGGACACTTCTGGATCGGTTTATTGCTCGTGCCCACAGCGTGCCTTGTTAAAGATGTGGCATGGAGAGCGTAAGTTATTATTCACATTCTTTTGAAAAAGGTTATTTGCTTAAACTTACAATATTTCAGGTTAGTTCTACAGCTGCTAACCCTTAACCCCAGCCCTAAATCACTTAGATGGGTACAAAGTGTTAATCAGCGCTAATGGTTCTTTTTAGAGTCTCTGCAAATATGCAACTATTTATTTTCCTAGACAGCCTTACATTTCCTCATCTATGAAGGTACATATAACACTGTTTTTTAAATGAATTTAGAAGTCAAATTTCACATAGGATGGTATTGAATAATAATGAATATTTAATGCAAAATATTATGATTTTCCAAATGAAAATTCTTGTTTGTTTCTAGCTGTTCCCTCTCCTTTTGCTGTTGTCTCATCTTAAATAAATAGGATGTCTTTACGGTTCATGACTAAATGCAAGCACTATAATCTAAAATGCTCTTATCTTTGTATCTCACTGTGATATGAAGAATGAATGAGCTTCTTGATGGATTGGGTTCCTTACCAACTTCCATATTTTAAGTTTATTGAGTAAGTATGAAGCTAATTTTAGAGCCCTCTATATGAAAAAATAGGCCTCTGAAAAGGGAACAAAATTTTATTAGGAAGAAGACAACTTCTTGTGATCTTCTTCAATATCCCAGGTCTTGAAGACTCGTCTATTTTCAATAGTTATTATGGACTAAAAATATTTCTACAATATGCTCTGATGGAAACAAATGGATTCGTATTATGTAACCTTCAACAGGAGAAAGTCCAACTAATATCATTCTTCTATACTAGGAAAACAAAATATGCATTAGAAGATTGGTGTTCTTAACTATCTAAAAAGCAGAAGGTGGCTAAGAAATTTGTTCCATCTTCTTTTAACTTTTAAATGACTTCGTACCTATAGTAGGGTTTGCAAATTGGGAGTCTTTTTTTTACACTTATTGAATGGCCATGCAGTCATATACATTTTTCTGTCCATTGCAGAAAGTGCTGAAAAAAGGAAGAAGCTAAATGTCTATGGAAGTTCTCTATCATCCAGGTCCTGGTTGTCTCAAAGGTGCTTTTTTTCAAGAGGCAACTGGACTTGCTGGTTTTTCTTTGAAGATGTTTTGCTTCTCATTCAAGAATGGAAGGATTGAAGCCACAGACTCTAAAAAAATGCAAATGACCAGCTGTCTGCAAGGGGTGTAAAATAAATCCTTCCATTCCCCACCATCCAGTCAGAGCTCAAGAAAGTCCAGTTGCTTCTTGAAAAAGCACCTTTGGGACAAAAGAAGAAACTGATTGCAAAAGCTCATTCTGAGAGGATTTTTTAAAAATAGTTTAAAAACAAACAAACAAACTAGAAGAGATCTATTTGCAGTTTAATTTTTAAAGGTGCAGATCTCTCTGCCATCTCAATTATATCAAGTATATCTACGCCAGGGTGTGTGTGTGTGTGTGTTTCTAAAAAAAATGTTAGAAAAATATCTGGTCAAAATATCTGTCCTCAGAAGAAATACCACCTTTTCTCTCTCATCTTTGTTAAGATGATATTAAGCTTTTGAAAATATAAAGGAAAAAGATAATCATATTTCACTGGCAAAGTTTCACTGTCATATTTCACTGACCATGTAAAAGAATATGTATTGTATGGGTGAGACTGTATTGCATTGCTTTTCTACTGTAAAATCTTTCGATGACCTATGGTAGGGGTGTCAAACTGGTGGCCCGCGGGCCAGATGCGTCACACACAGGCCACACCCTCCCCAGCTCCACAAGGGGAAAAAATGTCATGATACATCACATGATTGCAACGTGATATGGCGAGTTTGACACCCGTGACCTACTCCATCAGGTACATCCATGATAGTATCAAAACCTGAAATAGGTTTTGCAGCCACTGCAAAAATACTATTATTTTTTGCTGTTGCCGTCAAAGTAAAAGGAAATCATTCAATAAAATGAGAGAAAATGAAGTGGAATATCAAGATCTCTCTCTCTTTCTCACTCCATCACCCTCTTTCTTGTACCACTATATCTGGGCTCCAAAATACTGAGAACAAGTAAATGAAAACAAGGAGGTACAGAGACTGTCTTGCTATCTTCCAGAGGATTTATAGATTTTTCACTGTAGATATGCTATCTGGGTACATGGTATGTGTCTGGGTATGCGTATGCGTATGTCTGTGGATGTGTGTGAGTATGATATGTGCCCATTATATGCTGAATTTAGTCAATTTGAACACATATCTCACTGATGTATCTGGTGGCATACTGTCATTCTAACTGGAGCAATTACTAAATTTGATTCTCAAAAGTATGCATTTGAGATTTCTAAAAATGTTCAATTGCCTGGATAATATGATATTCATTCAGCTTCCAAATTCCAGACTATCATATGTAACAGCAAGCTATATGTTATCTAAAGAGCCAAGAAGCAGAGCACATAGCTAATATCATACTGTGGTCTTATTTCAAATTGAATAATATGGCTGCGGAAACCAGGGCTTTTCAACAGTAAATCAATTGGAGAGAGGGGAGAAAAGAGAAATAGATGATCCTCTATTTTTTCTTCTTATATCAGTCCTATACACATCAACAACAAGATATCAATGTATTTCAGTCCAAATTCAAGATTGGAATCCCTAATCATTCTTTCGGATGACAAGCAGAGGAACTGGAGTAGGGAGTGCAGCCTTCCTCTCCTACTTAATCTATAAATTCAATCATTGTGTCTCTTTTGATCACGTCTGGATGAAGGCACTGTTTTGCAGTGGTTGTCCTCCTTCCTCTAGATACAGTCAGTGAGTTGGATTTTTAAACTCTACATTATGGCTCTATTTTCTCACTTCAACTTAGCAGTTACATAAAGCCCATGGAAGGGATTATCTGTCAGCATCGCATATAGTATCAATTATATGTGAATAGTATTTTGGTGTATATTTTGGTCCTAAGCCAAATGGATGCTGTTGGGGTACCATCCCAGAGACTGAATGGATTTCTCTGGAGGGGAACAGACTCAATCTTGGCAAGATGACTGGTTGTGATTTGAAAGCTGAGGCCAGTGATATTTCTTCTTTATTCTAGATGGTGCTGTGTTCTTTCAAATTAAACTATTTCACAACTTGTAGTTCATCCTGGGCTCATAGCTCTTAGTCAAGGAGCAGATGAGTTGTGGTTAGAAAGTTTTTGCACAACTCCTATACAGTATTTCAGTGGCATCAAATTTTGGGACCAAGAAGTGCTACTCATGCCTTAGGCCATGCCTCATTTGGCCTATGGAATTCTATGGGGGTCCACCCTTGAAGATCATCCAGAAAGTACAGTTGATCCACAACATAATGGCTCATGTAATTTAAGAGTAGTTCTCTGTTTCCCTAGAGAAAAATCAAAACTATAAGAGCTGCACTAGTTGCCAGTTGACTTCCGGGTGTAACTTAAGATTCTGGGTGTCATTTTTAAAGCAATACATAGATCAAGATTTCCATCTCCCAGCAGTCTCTATCTGTCAAAATACATGGTAGCAGAGATGGCATCCTTCAAGTTCCGTCTTTGAACTTTGAGCGTTATCTTCATGAGCATAATCTTCATGCATTCATCCAATAGGACATTTAAAATGAATGAAAAACTCAACTTTCTTTAAGTATGCTTCTAAGAATTATTAGATTTTAGAAATTACTTTTTGTGTGTTAGAGTAGACCACATAAAGGCTGGAACAGATTAGTATTTTATTTGTATGGATATTTCTTATATTTCTGTACACTTATGGCTCCAACGCTCAAGGCTAACTCAACCACATATGATATTCCTCTTTTTTGGCTGAAATTCAGTTGTGCTTAGCATCGTCTGAAAGATCCAGGACAATGCACAGCCCATTGGCAGCCTAGCCATTCCTGCTGTCTGACCTTGAACAGGAAACCTGACTCTCATGTAGTCAATGAAAGTTGATGTGTTAGTTTCTTTGTTTTGTGTCTTTCTCCTACAATGCAGGGCCAAGCATACTTACCGTAAAACTTTGCTGGAGCAGGTTCAAGAGTTGGAAGCTAAATCCAAAGAGCTGAGGAAATCTATGCTGCGTGATAGCAATGGAAAGAGGTGGGATCAATTCCATCTTAATTGGAAGCATGCCAGATCCATTTTTTTCCCTCCTTCTGCCTCTTCATTATTTTTGCCATGCATTGCAATGTAATGGTTACCGTCAGAAGAGCAATATTATTCATTTACATTTCCCCACCCCCAAAAAGCTTCCATCTTTCACTGCTGCATCCCTTATCTGTTGATAAATGAGGCCAAATGCAAGGCTCTGTATGTAGTTTTTTGCATGACAGCTTGCAATATTTTTGTTAGATGTACTGCCAATCTGAAGTTTTATTTCAACTTGCTTCTTTTTTTTAAAATGCTGGTTTGGCTCGTTATGTTGTGGTTCTGAACAAAAATATATATTAAGACCATATTAAAATTGGGGACAAAGAAGAGCAGATCTATCTACCACCCCACTTTAAATGAATCAGATTTATTGAAGAAAGCTAGAGACGTTGTTACTGGATAACTGAGAACTTTGCATGAGTATTTGATCTCTAATTTATGGATAGGAAAGTTCAAAATCTCCAGGATCTGAAAAGCTATTTTAATCTTATTCAGAGATTTGACAGCACAAATTGCTTTTCAGTCTTAGCTTGGTAGAAAACAGTTTAGAGACGAGAGTGGCTGTTACTGAAACAAAAGTCAAAAGTTTAATTGACTTTAGTTGACAGTCATCTAAGTTTTGAATTCAAAATAACCTCTGAATATATTAAAATAAATTTATTTATTTTGTCCCATCGACAGTTTGAAATATTACCCAAGAGAACATACGCTTTTCCAACATATTATTTAAACATGCCAGAGTCCTTTTGAGTAGTACGAGAACTATTTCCATATTTAAGACCATGATAGGGCCAGCTTACGCTATCTTTCAGCATGTACAAATTTCACTTTTAAACTATTAACAGAGTTCTCCTTTGGATGATAACTTAAGTGCTTCTGAATTGTCACTTGATCCTCTGGAAACTAGAGCTAATGCATCTGCTATGTGGGGATTTTTTTTTTATCTGATGTGAAAGACATTGAAGAGAGTTTTGTCCAGCCCACCCGCTTCCTACACCCTTTCTTTGAGCTTCAGAGGGTTTCAGTTAGCCCTTTTTATAAGGCAATTGTGCTTCAGCAAATGGGAAAGTGTCACAAGTTCAGAAAGGTTTTGTAACTCATACTTGTGTTCTTCAAACAATATGGCTCTGTGTGATGTGCAGAGGAACTTTTGCAATAATTAAGCATGATTTTAACAAACTCTCTCAAATACCAGTGCAAGTAGAAAGTGGTTTCAGAGACAAATTTCAGCCTTGCAAGGTTGCAAGGATCAGTCTTGGGCAAGGCTCATATATTTCTGGTAAATTAATTGCCACATTGTGGCAATTGTTGAAGCAGGTGGACAAATAAATCTATAATTCCATTTCTTTCAATAGTGCTCTCAAATCACAGGAGTTTTGCTAAAATAAATAAAAGATTCCAAGGTCTAGGTTGTTGATTTTTTTACTCAATTGTGTAATGTCACTGAATTGCTTAAATTTATGTCATTGTTAGAAGAGAGCCACTGTCCTAAAAAGCCAATATGAGTCTTCTGCCACCTTTTCAAACTAACAGGTTTTATTAAAAGTGGCAAGCTTTTGTGAAGTAGAGCTGATGTCATAAGATGTGTGGGGTGGATTTATGTATTTGCCTAGATCTGCCTTCCCCAACCTGATGATCTCTAGATATAAATTAGAATCGAGTTCCTATTTTTACATATAATCTACTTAACACATCAGAGACATCCCCTTCTCCACCAGTTGAAGAAAGCTGCCTAGGCAATCATTTCTAAATTAAAAGAATAGACTTCTTTCTCTTTTTTTGCTTCTTTGTGTTTCTGGACTCTTTGTACACGTTTTAATCTCTGCATTTAACCCATAAATATTAGGACATTGTCTGATTGATTTTTGCAATCACATTGATTATAGGTAGTTGCAGTTATGGTTTATAAGAATTTATTTTGTTCTTATTCTGTACTAAACATAGTCCATTATACTTCAAAAACAGAAGTCAGGATCTAAGGCAGCAGCTTTGTGTATTTGGTTCCAGTCTCTAATCCTTCTTCTGATGTGATGCAGATGACCTCTATTTTAAAAAAAAAGCTGACATCCTTCTGATTATCAGCTGTTTAAGAAAGGGAGTGAAGATTAATTTGAGTTCTCTTTGCTCCCTCTACTCCAAGTGTTTTCAGCTACTTAAAAACAGACCTGCATTTTTGGTTCCAGCTGTTCCATATGCTCTTTGAGGGATCATCATCTTAGTTTATCAAACACTCTGATTGTCAACACCTGGATGGTTGTGTGTGCATCTGGAAATGTGTTCAATGTTGTGTATAAACATATCTGTGGGTGCAATTGGCTTTCCTCTGTCTTGTTGACTTACTGTTTTGGCATTCGGTAAATTGCCCTGCGCCATGTTCTGCTCCATTCCAAAAGAATGTGCTTTCTTGGCCATTTGTTTTATTATGTTCCCTTTCCAATTTCTTCCGTCTGTATCCCTTTATTTTTTAATTGGCTCCCCTCATTTTCAGTAGGCTTGTAAGCAGACAATATAAGGAATCCCTGCCAGCCCTTTGGTCCATTCCTCTCCTCCCCCCTTCCCAAGGATTCCCCCACCTCTCTTCCTCCATTCTTCATTTATTTTTTTCCTCCTTAATTGCACCCAGGTTTCCTGGGTGGTCCATCTGCAAACTAGATAATGGTGGAGTATCTCAGCCTGCCTGAAGTTGATGTGTCATGCTTTTGATGAGGCCCCTTGAGTGCCTTCTGAGAACCGTTTCCTCCCCCCACCTCTCTCTCTCTCTCTCTCCCTCCCTCCCTCCCTCCCTCTCTCTCTCTTTCCTCCCTTGTTTGTGTCCTGGCTTTTTCACACCTGCTTGTCTTTCAGAATTCAGACATTTGGAAAAGGAGTGCACTGGGAATTTTCTAATAGTGCAATCTAAGGATAGATTGGGATACATTTATTGTTTAAATGTGAGGTTATTTCCATTCTTTCCACTCACCTGTTTGAGGCCCCTGCTGGTAATTACACTGTTTTGATTTAGCTTGAAATCATCCAAGAAGGTATATTTAATTATGGCCAAAAACTTAGGAAACTTTAAAATGTCAAAAGTGTAACATTATGTTGTTTATATGTATATAATAATGTTTGTGTAATTTTAGAAATAACAGCTGTAGTTTAGATAGAAATACAATAATGTAATATTTTACCATGATGGGAAAGACTAAAATTTGGCCAGTTTTTGGTCACCTACTCTGTTTGTCCTCCAGAGATTACTTGTTGGTGGACTGCTTCCAGGTCCTTGTCTCCATTGTGTGTATGTGTGTTTTTAATCTTTAATCTGACTTTAGATTTTACAGCCTTCAAATAAAGATTTGTCCATTAACAGCCCTTCAACTGTTCTCTGTAAAGTAAGACAAATTATGTGAAATTACAGTTGATTTACTTATAAAAAATTTGAGTTTTGGCATTTGTGGTTGGACATCTCCATCTCCTCCCAATTTCTTCAGTATAAATATCATTTCTACTGGGACTTATTCTTGCGAAATATTCCACTAAGAGATCTCTTCTCACACCCATGCTCCAAAATCTGGATTATAAACAGACTATCATCAGGGTCTGGTTTTCTAGTTCCATGCTTTTTCTTTTCTTAAAGTATAGTCTCCTTCATTTAAAAATATCAGAAAATAAGATATCCCATTCAAAGATCTATAGAAATAATTTGCAGTGCCACAATCCCAGCTAAATCAGTAGGCTCCTGACTTTCAGTGTGGAAAACTCTGTTACACAAGAGATGTCGTACCAAAGAGGAGTGCTACCAATGCCTGCTACTAGATATTTCTGGAAGTACTGAGAAGTGCTTGATTGATTTGATTGATTTTCTGATGTAGACTTAAATTGGCTGTTCTGGTGTCACCTGTTGGCTGTTCACCTGTTGGCTGGTCTGGTGTCACCAAATCACATTATCATGTTTTAAAGATGGATGTGTGTTGATAAGATTCAAGATCACAATATCTCACTCTGGTACAGTATAGAATTTTAAATACAAGATCAGTAATTATTGTATAAATCTATAAGGATGTAAATTTTATTTAAGCAACTCTACAGCCATGTTTCTTAGAAATGACCTGCTCAATAAAAAATTTTCATAGGAAAAATTGCTCATAATTTCCCATTATCATGAAATAACTCAAACCACAACTGAAGGTTTCTTGTAATCAGAGTCAGAGAGCACCCTTCCCCTAATCATGAGATTAGCTTCAACATTATTAGTCCTCCATGTTGGAAGAAATATCCTTCTGGGTTCAGTTCCAAGTGGGAAAAAAAGACACTGGAATCATGGGAGTTGCTTGGAAAGAAGGTGTAATGGTGGACAGGACCACATGGCTGGGTGAAGGAAAAAGGAAAGAGATGCTGAGAGTCCCTGGGTTTTATGTCCTCTGTTGGGATTTGAATTTGAGCTTGTATCCTGATTGGTTTTCAAACTCCCATGGGGCCATGCAGGGACAACTCTGTAGGCTGTCCCTAGTCCCAGGCTTGGTTGAGCCTTGCTGGATGATGATGTAATAAAAGAGCTTTGGGCAATTCCTATTATGGCTCTACCTGGAGTAGATCTTTGTTATGTAAAATACACTGGCCCAGGCCTTAATGGCCCATTAGCAAAGGTGGAGGAGGTTCTGTTTCTGCCTTTCTGAGTTTCTACTCCTCTTTTAGGGGAAATATTCTGCCTTTTTAATATATCCTAAAATATTTCATTTTTCTCGGAGAGGGTGGGTGCTAACTTCCTACATCCATAAACAAGTTGAGATGGAGTTTTTCTAAAGTTTTTTTAATTACTTGAGAAAATGGCAGTGTTTTATTGCTCTGATTAAGTTGTTGGTTTTAATGTATTATATTTATTATACGCTGCATGTTTTATTTCTATGTTTATAATTATGCTTTCTTTACACTGCCAAGAGTTGTGTGATTATGGTGGTCTAGAAAGCTAATAA